AGTAAATTGTACATTAGATTTGCTCTTCCAGTAAGGTACTGTCTAGGGTTTCTGAATGAGCAGAGTAAACCCAACCACATTAGCGCCCATACTTTATGGCTTTTTTTGTAAGCTAGTATCTAATAATAATGATGAAACACACTTCTTCCGTTCAGTGCAGATCCCTACAGAGATGATTTTGCTTTTTTAATATGGACGGTGTTCAGTTTGGACTAACAAATCAAGCAGAAAATGTACTAGAGGTTTCAGTTTCCCAAAAGCATTGTTAGCCAGGTAGCAAGTTCTGTCGGTACCAACATAGTTCAACAATACTGTGTTTCAATGAACACTCACAAGTAGCATGGGAAAGTTATGCGGTTGGAACTACAACTCTCGACCTGTGGTTAAAAGAATAGTTTCTTGTTGATAGCAGTAGTTCTAGCACCACGGGAGAACCATAAGGCAACTCGGTCCTGGAGGGCCATTGCCCTGCTGAGTTTAGCTCCAAACCCGATTAAACATACCTGAACCAACAAATCAAGCTTCAAGGCAGGTGTTTTGGAGCTTGTTGGAGGTAAACTCTGCAGGACAGCAGCCCTCTAGGACCGAGTTTGTACACCTCTGCCAGAAGAAACCTTCAAAATAATGGCGAATAAAAACAACGAAGCAGTCCTCAGGTGCCATGTTTGTTATTTACAGCAATGATCTGACATTCAAACCCGAACTGGGCTGTGTTTCCCCTACAATGATGTAACTCGCTGCTTAATTAGCATACACAATGCACCCAGTGCTTAATTTGAGCCGGATCCTGTTCCGGAAAATGTCAGATTTTGGATTTTTGCGTTCTTGTATTTGTTTTTAAAGATCCGGCATTAACAAGTGCATTAGATCGTGACAGTGCGGGTTTATGTAGATGTATTTGGAGCATGATTTGTAGATTATGTATTGGTCCTCAACATATTATTTAACAATCAGCTTTCTTAAATTCTAAATCGCTCTCGTTGATTGGTGCTACTGCTTAACCCACTCTCTCCACTCTTTAGTGAGCAGCGGGACGTTTGGAGAGAGTGTAATAATACCAGAAATACCAGAAATAATACCAAATAAAGTTAAATATTATAATGTATAAACATCATTAACACTATAATCATAGCCTAGTTCCCCTCACTCCAAAACAAAGCATTTAAATGTAACGGTATGCAGAACAGATCAAGAATGAAAAAAAAAGCTAAAGAAACCAAAATAAAGCGAAACTGAAAGTAGGCTACATTTGGGCTCACGTAGCCTACCTCTCTCATTCGGCACAAATCCCATATGTTTCCATATTCGCAATGTATTTCATTGTTAAACTATTATTTATAATGTAGACTAGGCTTCATGCGGCTTCGCATTTCAACGGAAAAAAAAATCATCCTCTTCACATGCGGAAAAATGCGCTTGGCAGAACAGCATCTGTAGACCGGTTATACTATGGACTCTTTAAATTGATATGTTTGGCTGACTGTATTTTATTTTGATAATGAACAGACTGCGATGGCAAGTTTGAATTGCTAGAATATGTGGTGTGTGTGTGTGTGTGTGTGCGAGGCGCCGGCGCGATCAAACAGCTGACATATGCTACTCCATTTTTGGTCATACAGATAAGAGTAAAACAAAAAGTGCCTCACACGGCTTTTTATTATGGATGGATGTGCTTTATTTCACTTCTTTTGGACTGATGAACTGCAACACCCGCTGACTTGCCATTAAACAGCTTGGAAGATCAAAGACAATTTTTAAAATAACTCCGATTGGATTCATCTGAAAGAAGGAAGTCATATACGCCTAGGTGCCTAGCTTGAGGGTGAGTAAATAATGTGCTAATTTTCATTTTTGGGTGAACTATCCCTTTAAGATCTCCTGGGCTGATTACTTTGTATTTTCAAGGGTGTTTTATTTATACTACTGTTACCTGCACTGCGCAAAAGGACAGACTTGTGAAAGGAGCTCAGAAAATGACAAAAAGTATGAAATGTTTTGAATTTCCAATAACCATTCTGGCACCTATATGTGAATCTGTTTATGTAGCTGTGTAGGAAAAAGCTTGACTGTCACAGGTTGCCAAAATATAATCATTAGATTGATAGCGGTGGATTCGCCCACAGTGCTGCTTTCAGCCCAGCTATTACACAACATGGAGGTGGATAAATTGTTAAAAAATATCTATAGTGTTATGAATGATTTGAAAAGCCTTCAAGGAGATTAAAAACGGTCTTATATATATGGATAACTGAAAGGTGAGGTGTGTCATGTAAGTCTCATACAAAGCCCACAGATCTCTCCTCCTCACAGTTAATGTAATCAGATAATTGAACCTCTTGTTTTAATGTGCGCTAAGACGAGCCCTTATCTACGCAGGTCAGCGGTAATGATGATCAATAAGTGCTTGTTGAGTAATGGCAAAGCACCTTGTTTTACATAAAGGGCTTAAACTGTGCCATGTTTACTATGCACTGCCTCTTCATTTTATAAAGGAAAACATAGACCTTTAAAAAAATTATTTTTACAATGACTTAAAAACCCTAGACAGAGCACTTACTGGAAGATTGTTCATAAAAAACACAGTAGAGCCAAATTGACATGCAACTCAAAATGCTGGCTCTACTGAACTGTTAAATTATATGCAAATCTTTCATATGCATCTACCAAATGTGTAGTAAATTGCATTCTGTGGGAGATTTTTTACAAATGTTAATGGACAAAGAATAAGTTGAAACTGACCATATATTTATTTTCTTAATGCATTTAGAAGATCTTCTTGTGAATGATTCATCTATGCATTTTTGACCTCATAATCTTTAATCAATAATGTGATAATTGTCATATTACTCACTTGACGTCTATGACGTAAGTCCATACTGCATTCAAGCCAGTCACATTCATATCTGCCTCCATTACGCTATTCAGCACTCACTTTTTACAATCCAATAAGCAATACATTTTTTAATCCTTTGATAGCCATTTCACTTGGAAATATGTCACAGTATGGTTGTAAAGTCAGTTGTTTCATGGCAACTTTAATAGACAACGATTGTAAAAATGCAGCACTAAAACCTCTTGGTTAACTATAAGTTACAGTTATATATGTGGTGAACTATTATATTAAATTTAACATAAAAATGCATAAATCCTGTAAAACCTATATTATATCTGGAAGTATAATGCATTTAAATAATAATAAAAATAATTAATAACCGAAAATAAAACAATGTTCTATTTAGTTCAATCAGCGTTGGGTAGATTACTTACAAACTGTAGCCAAATTACATGACCAAAATTGTAATTAGAAATGTAATTTTAGGTTATATAATTGGACTACTTTTTAATTACTTTTAGATTACTTTTGACCCAACTCGTTAATCAATGTGATTTAGGATAACCGTATAAAAATACAAAGATAAAGAACAATAATTTTAAAATAGCTTAAACTATTTTTAAAATAACAGCAATCAAAATAAAACACTTACTAAAAATATTAAACAAAGATAAAGTACAATCATTTCAAAATAGCTTAAAATATTTTTTAAATAACATCAATCAAAATAAAACACTTATTAAAAATATTAAATATTTAATTTGTTCACCTGCATGTCATGTGACCATTAACCAATCAGAGAACCGTGAACATGCCTTTTTTTTAATTATTGTTACGTTTTACATTCAATTTGTTGTTTCTTTTATTGCATTATTTTAGTGTTATGCACGTTACCCTGATACCCTTGCGTCTTTGTAATAATGTGCACTAGCTGTATGAGTTTATTAGTTCTGATTCATGGAACAGCCAGTTTTGATTCACTTTGAAGTCCACCATAATGCACTTTGGTGTTCACACTGCAACACTGAAATCAGCCAACAGTGTGATGTCAAGAGAGATGTGCAATGTCACAGAAGCGTGGCCATTGTCAGAGTAGTCTATAGCTGTTGCAAATAGATTTTACACCCATCTGCAGCAGCACATCCTCCAACTACTCAATGACAGAACTGCTGGAACTAATGTTACCATCAGCGATGCACGGCATGTGTGCTGCGGTAGAGGACCAATAATCATTCTGATACTGCAATTATGCTTCATCACTAATTAAGCTGTTGTCTTCATGAGTCCTTTCAGACACCCATTTAGTGAAGTGGACAAAGGAGACAGGAAATGGCAGCATAATGCTTCTAAATCAATACAGAAACATTATGCAGCCCGTTAATTCGATTCTGTAGAAGCTCATGTTATTGCAAAGTGTTACACTGTGTTAACCAGAGATGCTTATGATATATTTTCAGTATAAAGCATCAATGTTTATATCTGTGATAAAAGATGTCTAGATCCTCTTTGATTTTATTATATTTTCATTTTTTTTTTTTTTTTTTTTACAAAAATGCTTAATCTGTAAGTATTGTGAGAGACTGTTTTCCAGCTAATGCAACACTGATAAATAATAAATACGTTTCTGTGGAAAAAAACTGTGCTTATTCTGATGAGCAATTATTCAGTCTTTGTTTCTTTTCAGATTTTACTTTTCCTAAGAGAACACTGGGTGGTTTAAGAGAATAATGTGCTCTGGTAACCTAACTCGTTGGTTTGATTGAATATGTTATGATTGTTCAAATAGGGGGATTTCTGGAAATGCCCCACTTTTCAATGATTTATAAATTATATTCATACTTGTTTCTTATAATAAACATAATTTCAACAATATTTTTTAATAAAATATAGGCCTATACATTACCTAAGTTTATTAAACTTAAAAAAAATCTCTCTAAATTATAAAAGAATGTAAAAACTTTTCCTTGCAAAGACGAAAATCTCCCAATGATTGCGTGGAATTAATTGAGCTTTAGACAATGGAAAATCCGTCAGTTTTATTGACTTACTGGATGTTTTTTTCTTCCTGCTTTAATATCCAGGGGCGGGAGATCATGATCAGGCGCGTGAGGCAGCTCACCGCCGCAGATGCGCGTGCTATATAAAGCCCGAGCGCACCACAACCAGATTACAACCAGCACAAGCTGTCAGACAGAGAAAAGGAGCGCTGCTGAAATCACTTGTCCAGAAGAGACTTCGGAAACAAACACGCCATGGAGGCTGGAGCGAGAGGGATGCACTGGAAACTTTTGATACTTTCTTGTCTTTTGGCGGACGGGATGAGCCAGGACTTTGGACAGACCCAGTTCATTTGCACGTCCGTGCCCAAGGATATGGACATATGCGCCGCCACACTGCAGAACAGCGTGCCTGGGGAGGAATGAACATCATCATAACGCATTTAATTCTTATGAATGTAATACAAATGTAACAAACAAACAACCAATAATCTTAAACATGAGTGTTAAAAAAAACACATCTGGACTTTTTTATTTTATTTTAGTGAGGTATGAAATAATATTTGACTTAAATAGTGATATGCAACTTAAATTATTTGGATATGGAATATATTTTACTCCTAGCAGCAGTGTGTACCTGTTTAAGGTTCTTAAACAGTACCTGTAGCGTTTATTATTCTAAACTTAAATCAAACGTTCCTCTCGCAAATAGATGTTCACATTTTTCTTTCGTAGCAATTTAGCCGGAATAACAACTCCGTCCAGGCGAACAGCTTGAAGGATCTTCTGCAGACCAAAATTGACGACCTGGAGAAGCAGGTCCTGTCCCGTGTGAACGGTTTGGAGGAAGGAAAGCCCGGGCTGCGCAACGAGAGCGAACAGCGCGGACGCGTCGAGTCCACTCTCACCTCACTGCACCAGAGAATAACCGATCTAGAGAAAGGTAAGCATTCGCATTTCTGCTCCACCTATCATGTACGTGTCATGTAAATGTATCGGGCGCTTTCTTGACCTGTTTTTCTACGTGGAAAATATTCTTGGAGATGCCAGCGTGGATAATAAATTGGCGTCGTAGTGTCGCGCTGGTGTGTCGCAGGAGAGGAGGGGGGTCCACAGAGCTGCATTGCTTTGCATATCCAATTCCACCCAACCAGCTTTATAGCATGATTTACAGATGGGAACCAGAGAGTTTTTGCAAGCTCATGAGTTTTGTGAATTTTCATTCACGTGAATCACGTTTTTATCAGTCATTAAAATGCATAATGTCCCACAGCCTTGTACAGTCTAAAAGGCATTCATAGAATAGGGATTTTCAGCATTTACTCACCATAATGTCATCCCAAAGAAATAAGATTTACTTTCTTCTGTGAAGTACAGAGATACGTTGCAGAATGTCTGTGCTGAGCTTTTCCATCCAAATAGATACGTATGGCGATGCACATCGTCAAGCTCCAAAACTGCACAAAAAAATAGTCATTCAATGTACTCCCACTCACGTGAAGCCATGTTATAAATACGTGTGCTGAAGGCATCACAATTTAAGGTATTTGCTGAAAATCATCTGTAGCTCACAAAAGCGATGTGCTTTCAATGATTAACTGATCAAAGCAATAAAAATGGTTAATGAAAATATAGAACTAATATGGAACGTAATGCATTTGAAATGAGGCAAGGTCAGATCGAGCTGCAACGGAAAAGTGTATGACCCAAGTTGTCAAAAGCATGAGAGCACTTTAGATTAAGTGCTTCCAAGAAGTTAATGAGCATATAGTTCATGCGGCAGAGCTGCTATGTCAGCTTGTGTCAAATTGCTTGTGCTATTTAATGCTATTTAGAAAGGGTTTGCCCTAGTACATACAGTAAATCACATTTTATCGTCATTCTATGTAAATGTTATAAATTCAAAGTCATGCTTCTATAAGTCAACAAGACAGAATGGGATAATTAATTTGGACTAAGTATTAATTTTGATATGTGTGTGTGTGTTTGTATTTTACATCTTACATTTAGGTTTAAAATGGAAAGATACCCCAAAAGTAATGCTAGTAACTACAGTAACTAATGGGATCATAATAAAGAGTCCTAAATGTATACAAAATAAATAACAGTTTCAAGTTACTATGTTCAGAAGAATTTGTTTAGATGAGTACATTGGGCAGGATGTGGATTAAAGGGGTCATATGATGCGATTTCAATTTTTCCTTTCTCTTTGGAGTGTTACAAGCTCTTGGTGCATAAAGAAGATCTGTAAAGTAGCAAAGACTAAAGTCTCAAATCCAAAGAGATATTCTTTATAAAAGTTAAGAGTCAACCACGCCTACACTGTAAAAAATGACCGTGAATTTAACGGTAAAAGACTGTAAAAATGCTACAGTAAAAACCTGTTAAATGGTTAAAGGTAAATTCCCCTACTATATACGGTGAAAAACTGTATTGGACATTACATGTAATGGACATTAATTTTACGGTAGTATACCGTTTTTGGATTTTAACCTTAAACCGCATAAACACATTTCATTTACACCAAATACACAAAATAATGTTCTTTTTAGCAACATCATATGACCCCTTTAAAACGTTTTTCAATATTTTTTAGGCAATTAATTAAAGAAATGACATTTTATTGATTATAAATGATGTTTTATTTCTTGATATGCTATGTTTAAATGCGTGCATTAGGTTTGAGCAGTACAGCACATGGTAAGAATTTCATGGAATAACAACTTAAATTGCAGTCTAACATCCAAAGGTACTGTAAATGTAACATGCAAATGTCTTCCATGGTAGAGAGACTATTGTGTGGGTTTGGAATAACTTGAGGGTTAGTAAACTATATGACAGAATTATTGTTTGAGGTATTTCTCTACCTTAGTAATGATGCCCATTGATTGCGGCTTTTACGCCTTATTACTTGTTGCGAGCATCAAACACTAGAGTAGAAATAAATGAGAGGAGGTAGGCTCCCAGGTGGGACGACAGCACTAGATTGCTTGTCTTTTCCCAGGCAAAAAGAACCAAATAAAATCAATAAATGTTTTTTTATTCCCTAGAAATATACTTTAAACACACATGATGCCTTATATTTTGCTTTCATTGTGATGCATGGATACATTTATGGACAGCAATAAAAAGCTACTGAGAATTATGTACAGAGATTTTATAGACTGTATGTCTTTGACAAAATTAGAGGACTCATTATTTAAATGCATTCATGTATTCATTTTTTAATAACAGGGCAAAAGGAAAACAGACCACTGGATAAATTCCAGCTGACATTCCCTCTGAGGACCAACTACATGTATGCTAAAGTCAAGAAGAGCCTGCCAGAGATGTACGCCTTCACCGTCTGCATGTGGCTCAAATCCAACGCCTCTCCAGGAGTGGGGACGCCTTTCTCATATGCAGTCCCGGGACAGGCCAATGAACTGGTTCTTATTGAGTGGGGAAACAACCCAATGGAAATGCTCATCAATGATAAGGTACATTCACGCTTTATAAGCACTGACCTGAACAATATTGAGAAAAATATGAATTGTCATTTGGGAAATGTAGGAATGCATGGTTTTTCTTCACATTTAAATTCCTAATTGTATTCCTTTAAAGGAGACAGACAGACAGATCTTTAGGTTTCTTATGTTTTTTTTCCCTCTTTTGATGTAGGTTGCTAAGCTGCCTTTCCTGATCAATGATGGGAAATGGCATCACATTTGTATCACATGGACAACTCGAGATGGAGTGTGGGAAGCTTATCAGGATGGTGTAATGAGGGGAAATGGGGACAGTCTGGCCCCTTACCATCCAATCAAACCACAAGGGGTATTGATTCTGGGACAAGAGCAGGTATGCATCCTCTGTTTAACCTTAATTCACTCATCAATACAGCAAAGTGTGGCGTGGTAGTTCAAGATGTTACACAACGATGATTTAATGATGAGTGAAGAATACACAATGGCTCTGTTCCAAAACATAATGAGCTGCCCACATAGCTGTATTTTAAGACATTGTAGGCTTTCTCTCAGGCAAAAGCTGGTCCAAAAGTTAGGAAGCTTCACTGCTGCTTTGTAAAACACCTAGTTTTGGCTAAATTGAAAGGCAGCATTGCATGTATCTTTTTCGGATAAGGCAATGCCATAATACATTGCAGCTAGGGTTGTGCGATATTGCCAAAAAATGGTATCTCGATATTTTCGATAACGATAAATATCAACATTGTGCTGGTACCTTGGCTGGTTTAAATGACATTAAAACCACCAGTAGGTGGCGGCAAGTCTCTGTCTTAATAAGTGATTCACTGAATCATTCATTCAAATGATTCATTCAAAACAGATGATTCATTTATAAATGAAGCAAGCAACCGTCTTAACAACTGGATCATTGAATCATTGTCTCAAATGATTCATTCAAAAACAGATTCATTCAGGAATGAAACACTGCAGTGTTTCTCTGAGATGCACAAATGTCCTGTTTCAGCTTTGTTTGGAACAATTTTCATTATAGAAACTGAAAAAAACAACAATCAATATTGTATCTGAAATGAAACTCACATTTGCGATCACATTCACATGCTGATATTCAGGAAAACGGCACTCTTGCTTGTGTGATACTACTAAACGAGCCTATATCATATTTTATAAAAAATAAAAAAATAAAAATCTGTACAGAAACGTTTTTGCTTTCATAACTTGAAATACTAATTGTAACTGAATGCTAATAGGTTTCATCACGCAGTGAATGCTTTTGGACTCTAAAGATGAGTTTTTGTTTGTTTTTTGCATATACATAATAATGTCAGCTTGCACATCATCAAAACAACAATTACGATATTATCTTAGACAATAATTATCATACACCCCTAATTGCAGCTGATATTTTATTCATTGTCTTTTATGCGGAGCAAACTATTATTTTGCTTTTTAGTACTAAAACTCTATAGAATTACTATAGAATATTAACAGAGCCAATTATAAGATATCACTGAAAAGAGTCCATTCTAAAACGCTCTATAAAACAACCAGTAGATAAGATTTTGGCCCATTTGAAATGCAGAGACCTTCAAAGACGCCTGTAGGGATGAAAAGCACATATGAATCATTTATGGGCAGATTAGCTTCAAAGGTTAACAGGGACCAATCATATGTCTTTGAAGGCATTCAGCGTTTATTTTATTAGCATCTCAAATACTCAAATAAATGTTTATCCACCTGCAGGACACTCTCGGTGGAGGGTTTGATGCCACTCAAGCGTTTGTCGGTGACATGGCGAATTTCAACATCTGGGACCGAAAGCTGTCCGTGGGAGAGATTTATAACCTGGCCACATGCAGCAGCAAAGCACAAGTGGGGAACGTCTTCTCTTGGTTGGAAACCAGCATTGAGATCTACGGAGGAGCTTCGAAATGGACATTTGAGGCCTGTCGCCAACTGAACTAAAAGAGCACAGAAATCTCCCAGCCAATGAGAGATACGAGTTTCCAGGTGTCTGTTACCAAATCATGCATCCTTAAAGAACATTGTCAATCAAGAACAAACATAGACATCAAAATCAACTGGACTTTTCTAGATATTTCAATATTTCTTGTCTCTTAACACTTAAAACAATCACGTTTTTGTCATGTATTTCTGGATCTTGAAGGCATATGCTGATGTTGGTCTTAGCTTGAAAGCACAGTGGTTTCGCTCTTCTCTGGTTGTCTGTTGGGCAAGCAACGCCTTACCGGAAAACTACTTAACACAATATGTCTCAGACTTCCATATTTACAGCCTGGATCATTTGACCT